GTGTAAGGGATTGTCACCTACAAGTAGGACAGTGATATATATTCGCTATTGGCAATCCTTGGCACATGTGTTGTATGCCTAAAGAAAAAGAGAAAAGAGAGAGAAGAGGGCTAGGGGTACAGCTCCACTTGTCATTTCGTCGGGGAGAAAAAAAAAATCAAAAAATTATATGTATTTTGTACATATTAATAGCCTTTAAAATCGATTAAATAAGCATTTGAAACCCTAAATTGGTGGGGGTGGGGGGAGGTCGTCCCCTGGACCACTTTCAAAAGGTTTTTAGCGACGCCCGACTACGTCCACTTTATTCTCGACGGAGGCATCCCCCCCCCCCCTCCCACTCCCACCGTCGGGCACTTTGGACCCTCGTCGGGGAAATCTGGCGCCGCCACTGATACCCAGACAAATAATTACACAGTTTCTGAGAATCTTCAGAGACAGAGCCATATAGCAGAGTTGGGAACTACCTTAGGACAGTACAATAGTTATTACCTCATTTATCATAACATCGCAGCCTGCTTTCCTGAGACCGGTGTGTTGCCAGGCCAGGTAGGCATCTACTCGTGCTCTAGCCTTGAGGTCAGCTGGATACCAGTGGTCAGCTACCTTGTACTTGGCCGCAAGATACCTTACAATCGCAGTGCTAGAAAAATATGTACACGATTAATTGAATTGAAAATGAATCCCCATTTCCATTTTCCCAATACATGTCTCCCTTTAATGAAAGACCACTTCTGGGACCGGAGTTCCCATGGTTTCTAGTAGCTTTGGTCTCTGATTTGAACAATAAAGATAAGAGACTTTTTAATTTGGACCACAGAAAAGCGGTCTTTAACTGGAGGTAGTCTTCAATTGGAGGGGTCTTAAATTAGAGGAATGCGCCGCCTTCCTAAAAGCTTCCCCCGTTTCCCGCATTTAAAATGTCTGAAGCAAAGTAAAGCAAAATAATTACTGTACTTGCCTTTCTCCAAGACAAAAGTCACCATCTTTGATTGCTGGCACAACTTGTGATGGCTGGATAGCTGTGTACTCGGGCGATTTATGTTCTTCTGTTAATAAATATATTGTTACTCTATAATTAAGATTAATAAATACTATGACAAACGATGGCGCATAGTAACGGTGGTTGGACCATATGGTTTTGTCCCAGGTAGCAAACAAACTTGGGGCCTATGTAAATTTATGGGTCAAAATGTGGCCCCTACAAATTGGCCTATACGGGAAAGAGTTGTCTGTGCACCAGGGTTCCATAAGTTGGCCCAAATGGAAATGTGTACATATGGGGTCGGGACATTACTCCTGTAGTGTCTCATTGACTTGCATATCTCTTCGCATATCATTTGGCTTAAGTCTTACTGTTACACGCATGGGCGTCGATCGGTGGGGACAGGGGGACGCGTCCCCCCCCCCACTTTTCAAAGTAGGGGACATCATATCGATTGTCCCCCCACCACTTTTCACCAATCTTCTATAATTAAAACCCCACTTTTAATAGCGAATGGAAAGAATAACAATTACGCATGACTCATGAATTTTGTCTGTTCACTTTTCTAAGTGCGGTACGTATTTTCCGGACCAAAACTGAGTAGGCCTAAAAACGCAATTGTTTATACATTTAGTAACCATCTCAGAAACCACTAGATCGATTTTATGGGTGCAACGGTTATCAGAGGCTAAATTTATTGTGAAAACAATACTGAACGTTGTTAAAATTGGAAGCGTGTAAACTTATAACTTAAAAGTGCACAATTTCTACTATAAAATATATTTATTCCTTTTGTATATTATTATGACCCGTACGTATATAGTGTTTAATATTATATACTTACATAGGATTACTGTTTTTCCTAACTTCAAAAAAAAAATATAGTTAGTCAATTGAATTTTATATAGCCATTATTAAACCATAATTATACAGCTTTTGACAGGGATATGTCTATCTATTTCGATTAAGTGATACTAAAAGTTTACAAACTCCAGTGTTACGTTGACGCAATCTCGCAATGACGTCATAATAATCAGTGGCGGATTCAAGTGGGGCCGGCCAAGCCGACCCTAAATTTCTCAAAATATTTTTTTAAAAATGGAAAAAAACAAAGGAAAATTATAATTAGAATTTAGGTCTGAGAGTGCCATTTCCGGCAATCTAGAGGTGTCATAATCATAAATTTCCTTTCCTCAGCCCCAACCATGGTGGGTCTAAGGTGTTCTACTTTCCCAAATTGTGCAAGTCCCTTCCTGCTCCCCCCTCTAATTTGCTTTCCTGGAGCCGCCACTGATAATGATAAATTAAGTAAATCAGTTTTATATTTGTGAAATCAAAATGCTTACTAATGTTTTGTGTGCTCCCTATTTCCCTAGTCCTTTTCGATCGTAAATTTGACGATATTATTTCCACTCACAATAGTGTAGTCGCAATATTACTTACACAAAAGTGAAATTCAAAAAGAGGAGAAAAGCAAAAACCTCTTGATTGATTTTAAAAGTACTGTAAATTAAATGCAAAAAGACTAAATTAATGACTGTTTAATTTTATCTTAGGCCTATTTGTTTTTCATGGTTCGAAATTTGAATACGTTACAAGCTAATCAGTAGACAATATTGTAAATCATTATTTTTATGAATATTAGTTTGCACGAAATATATAACTTTTTATGATGAGTATTTTAGTGGCAGATTCAAGGGGCCCAGCCGACCCACCATCCCTAATTTATTTTTTTCCCCGAAATTTAAAAGTGGAGAAAAATGAAAATTATATTCAAATTCAGCCTGAGAGTGCCATTTCCGACCAAAGAGGTGCCATAATCATAAATTTTCTTACCTCAGCCCCGGACCACAGTGGGGCTGAGGTGGTCTACACTCTCCATCTGTAAAAGTCCCTCTCTGGTCCCAGCTCTATTTCAAATTACTGGATCCGCCACTGAATATTTTGAAATTTCGTATGGAAATAAATGTTAATTAAAATCAATTAAAAGGCTATAGGCGCCAGAGCTTTCGGGGGCTTCGCCACCTGGTCCCCAACCAAAACTTGGGCCTACGGCCCAAAGCTTTATTTTTCATTTCGTTCCCCCCACTTTCAACCACGGATCAACGCCCTTGGTTACACATACCTCAAATTTCAAGCATCTAAGCCTATTCTATAATCCTTTGCTTTACAGTCTTGTTTAAATCAGCAGTTTTGTCCATATAGGCCCATTATATTAAAGTGTCGCTAGAGTTTATTATTTATTATATAAAACAATATTTCGCAGTTACAGGCGTGCATAAACCAGCTTCTTTGTGATACTGATGCAGCAACTGTCCATAACCATGTCTTTTCTTGTCCGATGGTTGCAAAATAAATTAAGAATTGCTAAAAAGTCAGATAGTATGGATTCTGCAGTTGAACATAGCCCATATGGGTTCACCCATTTTTTTTTCTCTCTTGCGGGCCCAAATGGAACAACATATGCTCATATTAAAAAAATATATTTCCCACATGCGCGCTTTGGCCCATATTTTCTCATATATGATCAGAGCCATACATTCCGTCGGGGAATGAAAAAAAAAAATTTACATATCTGTTCGTTTAGCAACATATCGGCTTCATTGACCTATTTGTGTACCGTTTGTGTTAACTTTTCATCACTAATAACAAAAACAACAACAACAATAATAATAATGATAATAATAATAATAATAGGCCTAATAATAATAATAGTAGCCTAATTGTTATTGTCGTGATGGAATCTTAGACAATAACTGGATTTGCGTCAGGAGAAACATGTATGGGTGTAATTTTGCCCTACCTGACGTGGAAATGTACCGAATATTCAGTACATTTGAAAACAACTGCGAAAAAAACCGCAAGTTGTTCTCGGGTGGAACTCGAACCCACGATCTCCAGATCACTAGCCTGTGTCAGGTAGGGCAAAATTAAACCTATACAATAATAATAATAATAATAATAATAATAATAATAATAATAATAATAATGATAATAATAATAATAATAATAATAATAATAATAATAATAATAATAATAATAATAATAATAATAAAGTGTCAATATTTTTTTAAATGTCAGTGCATATTAATGTTATGTATTGAAATTAAAAATATACAAATGCCCCTCCCCCAGTTTGAAAAATTCTGGATCCGCCCCTGTTCAATGGTACTAATTAAAAATGGTTTACGCTCTACTATGACATGCTCGTTTGGATATCCTCATGATGCTTGGAATACATCTTGATCGAGGAGCAACCTCGTGGTTTACAGATTTCAGGCAAATATTGTCACAAATTAGTGGTATTACAAGTTACAGTAAGACATTATTCTTATTCGTAATTTTGTTGTTAATAATTCACAATCACATGGATTATGAAAAACCTGGATTTCGCCATGATGGGAGGATAGTATTGTAATGTAATACGGTGGTGTTTTTTGTTTGCTTGTTTTTTAAAATAATATAACATGTAAAACGGATTTGTTTAGTTGGTTACATTGCATACTCTTTGTTTCTCATTGTTTTAATAAAAAAAAAATCGGTTTTGGAATTTCGACATTAAAAAACATACATGAAGTCATTACGGTAGTTTGATGCCTATCAAATAACTAATACAAATTTACCAAAATTCGTCAAATCTCCCTAGCCCAGGGGGCTTCGCCCCGGATCCCCCTGTGGTCCCAAGTCGACTGCCAACCCCAGCCAAGTGAGGCTCGCTTCGCTCGCCTAAACCTTCCCCATCGGGGCCTTTAGCCCCCTGTCGGGCAGATCCTGGCGCCATCACTGGTTTGTGAGGCATATTGTAAAATGCAGGGGAAAAAAAACTCCATATAGAGTTAGTAGGACTTGCTTTGACTATGGTATACAGTACCTGTCTAAATACCGTTCCTTAAAAACTATCATGACTATATAGTCATTCTTGAATTTGTTCAAAGGAAAGTCTTAGTATTGACTATGTAATCCTATTTCTTGCCAAGTTTTTCTGTGTGGAGACCACTTTGACTTACATTTTGTTTAACATTTTGGAAATCTTGCCTCGCAGATTTACTAATAGTGCTTTTTTTATTGTATGTTATGTTAATGCAAAATAAATGATATGATATGATATTCACTCTCATAAAGATTAATCATGAATGTATTGATTTAAGTTCCAATGAAGCTTTGCCAATATAAATAAGCATTATCAAACCTAGCAACAGTTTACCTTCTAACACTAAAATACCCTTGTTATTTGGGATAACATAATTATTTGGCCAATCACAGACCAGAAAACTCGCTGTAGTAAGATATTAATCGAACTGCTGCTCAAGTACCGAATACTGAGCAAAAGCTCGCTCCATAAACGACACAACATAATGCACCTAACCCAAAGAATGACAAACATGTTTACATCAGTTTAAAAATCAATTAAACCTCAGGTGGATGTGTCTATTTACATTGGGTTTAAACAAAGATAACAGAACCGTTTTAGTGGGCCTAAGTACAGTCTCGGAAAGATAACTGGAAACGATTAGACGATCAGAAGACTTGCCAAGGTGTTGTAAAATGCAGAACCAGTAATTGTCTCTGGGATGGTTAAATACTGAGCTGAAAATGCTGACTCACTTTTTTAACAGGATTTTCATGTTTTGTTATTTAGAATTTATTTTGAATGTAAATTTTTTTTTTTCAATTTATTTTTGTAAACCATATACAGTAAAAAATGTTGTCCTTATTAGACCATTACACAATCATTAAAACAGAACACTCACAGTTCCTTAAATACAAAGCCCATCATAACTGCAGGGCTGTAACAAGGATTACCATGAGGGGGAAGGGTTTGCAAGGTGTAACCTACAAGTGGACAGAGCCGGTTTGATTGCGGCTTCGATTTTCATTATAATGGAAACCACAATACTGGCCTAACATTGAATTGTTGGTTAATGTAGACTTAAGATTCCCGTTTAATCTCTATTACAGTTTCTGTATTTTAAAACATTTTATTATAGTAGGCCTATGGCAAAACAATGAAATAGGTATAATCGTTAATAACGTTCTATAATATTACTTTTGAAAACACACTAAGCCGTAATATGTTTCATAAACTTTTTCTTAAACAGTTTTGAAACAAATCTTTATTTATTTACTGTTATAATTAAAGCATTAATGTTGTATTGCGGATCTTCTAATGTTGATAATGTATCGGTATATCTAAATTCGAATGTTGGGGCTTCTAAAATCACAAATATAACCCATTTAAACGGGGTGGGGGGGGGGGACAAAATTACCCGAAAGATAATTAAGTGGGAAGCGCTAGCAGTAATTGCATAACGACGGGGCCGGAGGCCATTTTTAAACAGTTTGTGTTTGTATTCTATTTTCTTCAATGACAGATCGGGGAGGGGATGACCCCGTGGCCTGGCCCTTCATTGAACCTGTAGCGTTCATTCTACTGCATAAATATTCACAATCATCTTGCGCTAAAATGTGAACAAGCTGTGACCTTACTATTGAACCATGTATAAATGTACAGACCAAATCGATTAAAATAACAGAAGTTCCTATCAAACAGAAATCCGGTACAGTAGAATATTGCACTGTCATGGAAGATTTTATTAACATAACAATAGTTCAAGCTAATGTACAGAGTGAAGCAAAGAGTGATCACATGACCTAACAGACCCTTAAAATCTGGGCGGTGGATAAAAGAGGAAAACCAAATGATTAAACTAGTAAAAACGTTTTTAACCAAAGAATTGATACAATTAAATGTAAAAAATAAGTAGGCCTACCTAGTGACATGTATATCAACACATTTTAAATGTGTTGATATGCATATGTTAGTAAGTCATTGTAATATCACTAGCTGAGACAACTAGGCCTATTTCAGGGACGACGCCTCCCCGCTCCGTCGGGAAAGCCTAGACCCCGCTCCCTCTCGGGGAAAAATTAAATTTGTTGGGGAATTCTTTTTTAAAAGATTACAAAATGTTAATTAGGCCTATGGGATTCTATATTTTAAAATGTCTGTTATAGGCCTACTAGTCCCCTTTCGGGAAGGTACCAGCCCCCCATCGGGGAAGAGCTGGCCACCACTGCAAACCCTGTCACATAGGGTAGCACTGCTCACACTTTAAACAGTTTTTGATCCCTAAAATTTTGACAGCTTAGTTTTAAGTTATGCTTGAATTGCTTTTGGCGCTCCAGGATATAGTTTTTCTCGAACTCTTGCTGGAAATCCCCCGACAGGGGGGTCCAAGCGGAGCCCAGAGATCCCGACCGGAGGGGGGGGGCTTTTCCCCCTGGACCCCTGCTGAACTATATATACACCAACTTCATTTCAAGATACATGATCCGATTGTGCAATCAAATACAGGTCTTCCTCCAATTAAAGACCAGTATGAGACCAGAGGTTTTCCATGGTGTTTAGTATTAGTTCTAATTAGATTGTTAATATGGGACCACAGAAAGTGTTCTTTAATTGGAGGTGGTTTTTAATTGCAGGGGGTTTTCAGGGGCGATCCAGTAGGGGCACAGGGGAAACGTGTTCCCCACCCACGCTTTGCCACTAAATTTTAAAATTTCAAGGTATATTATTGAAATTAGTCTCACTTATATATTTTGAATATGCTGAGCATCCCCCCCCACCCCATCCCGTTTGAAAAATTCTGGATCTGCCCCTGTCTGTAATTAGAGATCGACCTGAATGCCTATACTTCAGATTAAGAATAGATAATGAATGGCTTAGGTCTACGCTCTACGGTAATTTTTATGGAAAGAAAACACACGTACATGAAGGTACTGATATATTACTGTACAATTATAAAGTTGCATACCTTTACTAAAATCGACTACCTTGGTCTCGTGTTTTATTTTGTTCAGTCTGCAAAACAACACGATTGCACGACTCGGCTGCGATAAAGGGTGGTAATATACAGTTATGGACATGGCTGCAACGTAACGAGATCGAACTGCAATTCATGAATCGAATACTGAGCGAAAGCGCGCTCCATAAATAACACGTTAAACCCAAAGGATGATAAACATATTTATACAGTATCAGTTTAAGAATCAAGTACATATCAATTTTAATGACTCAGGTGAATTTGTCTATTTACATTAGGTTTAAATAAAGATAACAGAACCGTTAGCAGGCCTATTACAATGCAGAACCAGTATCGTCTCTGGGATGGTCAAATAGCTGAAAACCTGGCTAACTTTTTTAATTGGATTTTCATGTTTTGTTATTATATATTTAGAATTATTTTATATTTAGATTTTTTTTTATAACTTTACTGAAGTTACCATTTAAAAAAAAATCATATTAAAAAATGTCCTTATTAGACCATAACAGTCATTGAAACAGAACACTCACAATTCCTTAAAAACAGAGCTTATCATTACTGCAATGCTATAATTAACATCGTAATAAGAAATCATTGTGCTACAACACGTAGTATGAAAAGTTATTTTTTGTTGAGTGCCTTCACGTTTCGATTGAGTTGCTTCAGTCACCAAAATACTAGCTAGAGAGAATATTACTATTCTCTTGATGACTACGTGGTGTCGTAACCCGTGTCGTAAGCATTCATATTACTGTTGTGAAAGAGAGTAATTGGATTACAGGGCCGTAGCGACGAGAATTCAAGTGGTCAAGTTGTGAGCGAAGCAAGCACTGAGGCTGGAGACCAGGGGCTGCCAAGATCCCCCGGCCAGGGTTTAATGGCCAGAGGCCCGGGAAAAATTTGCTGTTCTTCCATCGTATACACCAATGTTAATGATGTTCCGCAAGTGGCGGATCCAGCGGGGGGGCTCCCCCAGGTCAGTCAAGCCAAAAAATTAAAGAGGGAGAAAAATTTTAAAGAGAGGAAAGAGGGAAAAAAGGGGTGTACCCACGAGTTCATTGGCGATACAGCAGTGGAAAGGAGATCTCAGTTATTTACCACTTATTTACACCAACCATGGTGGGGCTGAGGTGGGCGTGGCGGCGTGAACTTCATTTTGTGCCCCCACCCCGTCAGAAATTCTCTGGATCCGCCCCTGAATCTGCAGTTGTTTTTTTTTAATTTATTTTTTTTATAAAAATATGTTTTAAACTAACATCAGGGCTATGATGAAGCAAAGCAATAAAAACACTCTGAATTCAACACAGGCATTGTTGTTATTTTAGTATTTTGCATTTAACATTGACAAAAATCTAAGATTAGACCTATGAACGAAAATAATATTGCTCTGGTACACTTTCAAACTACTGTATGTATATTGCAGGCGCGGATCCAGCCCTTCGCACCGTTCGCTATGGCGAAGGTCAGGGTGAGAGATAAAATGATATTTAAAAAAAATTGTGATTGTAGTGCCTGGTGGTCTGGCAAATTCCCACTCCTGTCAGAAAAGATATAGACAAAACTGCAATACATTTTTGCATTGTCTTGACTATTAATCAGTAATCTATCAGAAATATGGGGATTGGTTATACTAGAAACCTTTAGAACACCTGCAACATTATAAAACTGCGATCCAACAGGCAGAATATTTGGGGCGGTGGACAGATTGCCTGCGACAACGAATAACCCTGTTTGCAGCCCGCCAATCAAAATTGGTTTTTATGACCCGACACCCATCATACATAAAAAGTAACATTAAAACTGAGAATAAAGTGATGTAAAAGAAGTGCTCGGATGTTTTTGGAAGCACACTGGAAACATCGAAGTTTGGGTGCAGCCCTCAGTGTTAAATCAAAAATTCATTTTGGCCCTCTGAACGATTTTTATGCCCACCCCTGGGGTAAAGACTATTTTGGTTCAGTAAATTAATATTTTTAGCCAGGACCTCGCCAGGACTTTATCAATTATGGACCTAATATTTGCATGCACAATGGAAATGCACATTTTAAGTAACATAGTTTGTTAAGCAATAACGATAATCAGATAACAGAATTTCCTAGCTGTTAACCTCCAGTGGGGAACACAACTGCGTGATATTTGATGTGTACAGTACATCAATGAAGATTTCATTTAATATCATCGTTTATTTTCATAAATTATAAGTCAGCAATAAGCAAGAATTCAATGACAATATTCATGTACAATATTCTACTAGTAGTAAATAATCATGCTGATTGTGACATCCAATCACACAGCGCCCTCTATAGCCACATTGCACAAAGATATCAATAAAATAATGACAATACAATACAATAGGCCCTTAGTTATCATTTATGTTGTCGTTCAAAAAATATCTGCTGAGCCGCATGAAGTGTCTGATTAGACATCAAGCATCAACATATTCCAGTTGCAGTATACAGTATGTCCATAATGCATGAGCACACACTGATGGATTCGAGCCTGCCAGCTTCAGTTCCTGATACAAAGCTGTGTTAACTCAACGATCCTTGTTCTACTTTGTGATGTCACATGTATTTTCATTTCTTCATACCTAAATCTTCAATGTATTTCATCTCAATCTATATACAAAAGTAAAAATAATACATTAAATACACCAAATTAGGCTGTAGAGATTAATGACACCAATGCATAATAGTAAAACAAGTAAATAATAACCAGCAAGTTGACACATAAAATCAATTAATTGAGAACAATACAGAAATAAAGAATAAAAAAGCAAAGTACAGTGAATAAGAATAGCAAAAAAAAAAACGAGCTTGAATGAAACTGAAGAGACTAGATGAATATTAATGAGGATTTTAAAAGATAAGAACATCAAGGTACAGCAAATAAAGGTAAACAATAACAAGAAAATCATACAGTTTTCTGGAGGCTGTGAGTTCGATTCTCACACAAATCACTTGCAGGGGTTTTTTTTGCAAGTATTTGGGACTGTACTGAGTATTCAGTATGATAACACATCAGGTAGGGCAAAACATCATTCCTACTATAAAATTGAGAGAGACATAAATATATTTATCAAAATTGAAACCAGAATTAAATTTTAATAGGAAAGATATTGAGGTACAAAATCACCCCCAAAAAAAAACTGCCATTTAAAAAAAAATGATGAAGCAGGGGAATAAAATGTAGTGAAGTACAAGTACCGAATATTTTTTTTCTAGTAAATCTATGACATCATCAGTCACATCTCCTTGTATGATGATTTCGTCATCACCAGTTACCGATGAGCCACAAGAAAACTTTTGTGCGAAGTGCTTGGCCGCAGTGGCAAGCTCAATATCTGTGGCAAAAATGTAAAAGATTTATGTTAAATATCATATAAACTATAGTTTAAAAATACAAAGTAAAATTTGTTTTTATCATTTAGATTTTATAAACGGCATGTGATCGATATATTAAATTGGTTTGATTCTGCCATTAACTTCAGTGGTTCAGGGCTTAAGATCAGTTGCATATCTAGAAGTCTTAAAAAGGGGGGGGGAGGGGAGGGGAAGGGGGAAAAAAAGTTTTGTTTTTATTATTTAGATTTTATAAACAGCATGTGATCGATATATTAAATTGGGTTTGATTCTGCCATCAAGCTTCAGTGTTTCAAGGCTTAAGATCAGTGGCGTATCTAGAAGTCTTGAAATGGGGGGGGGGAGGGGAACTGATGGGGGAGCAAACGTGAAGTGGGGGATCGATGATTAGGTTAAGGGGTAGTAGCTCACAAATTAAGGTAATTTGAGGTGATTTTTAACTACATGAGCATAATTTCATTTTCAATGAAGGAGTGCAACTGGGGCATGAGTATTTGGGGAGTGTACCTCCTCCCCACTAGATATGCCACTGCTTGAGATAATAAAATTTGACTCACCGTGTGTGTTGAGACCTTTGATAATAGTAACAGTTTTCTTCTTGTTTCGTTGTTGTCGACGAATAGTAATAGTCTGGGGTTCTGCTTTCTTTTTGGTTTTCAAAACTCCTTTTCCACCTTTGAACATAAAAGAAAAATGTGGGAGGATATATAATTTTTCTACAATAATTTAATTTTTTATATTATTTGATTATTATTTTTATAAAGTTTAGAATCATGCAATGCAATTACTTTTTTTAAAATCACTGATATGATTTTATACAGTACATATTTTTAATAGGTATTAATGTTAATTTATTAAAACTGAATAAAACAATGTATTCATGCAAATTGGTGTACAAAAAGTGGATTAACATTATGATAAAGACATTGATCAACTAACCTCTCTTTTGTTTCTTCTTTTTCTCGCCGCCCTCTGCATCTCCATCTTTTAATGACATCATTGCATCAAACATGTCTGGAAAATTTGTCTGCAGCCATTCCTTGCATTTCTCATACTCAGGACTATACTCACATAGTTCTGGTTGCATAGAACAATCTAATTTCAAATTTAAAATAAAATAGACCTATGATACATATCATATGATACAGTATCAAATTTTAGAAATGGCCATAAAGAACAACAAAATTAATCACTAATATTATAAATCAAAAACCACATTAGCATGCTCAATACAATTTTAAAAACATTAATTGAACTATTATATATGTTTTCAGTCGTGTAAGTTTGTGTGTGTGTGTGTCACATTTTCATTTTTTTTTTTTGTGTTCGAAATATCTAAAGAAATGGCTGCACAGATATAAATGAAAATAACAGGGAGTGTTAGGTATGACCCAATGAAGAAATGATTAAATATTATTATTATTATTATTAGTATGTCACGAAAACCTACCTTAAGGGGAACTTAGAAAATGGAGAAATTAGAGAACAATTAAAAAAACACGACGTTAAGGGGAAAATAACACAAAAGAAATTCCCCTTAAGTCCAATTAAAAGAAATTATTATTATTAGTATTATTATTACTATTATTATTATTATTATTATTATTATTATTATTATTATTATTAATTGTGCTTGTATACTACTAATGCCTCTATGAGCTTTCCAGAAAATAATAGGTAAAAGGAAAAATAATCGAAATGCTGGAATTGGTACAGTATGATAACCAGCATACTGTTCTGTATGGTTTACTACCCATTATTGTTACATGACAGATTGTTTAAAGCAGGGGTGGGCATAAAACTGGGTCGGAGGGCTAAAGTAAATTTTTTAAATTTTAAACTGAGGGCTGCAACCAAACTTAACTTTGTCGATGTTCACTATGTGCTTCCAAAACCTTATGAAATGCTTTTAATTTATACCGGTTTATGCTCAGTTTTAATACTACTTTTTACAGATGGTCGGTGTTGGTTTGTACACAACAAGAGGTTTTCTAGCCAAAAATGGTTGGCAACAATGTGAATTGCTGAGAAATTGATAATAACATAAAAGTTGCTTACTTCCACAGTATACAACATCCAGTGGGTATGACACCTCTACCTCTGCCATCTTCTAAAAATAAGAAAAGATTTAGACAGAAAATACAAATCCAAAACTGAATATTTTCATTTAAAAATAATATATTATTATTTACTTTGCTAGGCCTAGATAGATTACTATTGATTATTAGGAGCAGAATACAAAATGGGAAATTTACTTTACATAAAATTATTAATTCAATCAATTGTGTCTATAGCTAAGCTAAAGAGAGAGAATGACCTACTGTACTGTAGGTTAGGTGGCGCTAATACGATCTCGCATTTCCAGACCTGAAAGTGGTTACCAAATTATTTAAAACTTACAATTATTCAACACTAACATGTTCTTTGATGAATTGCCTTTCATATAATCCACTAATTATTATCCGATGGTTTCTAATTTAAGTTATTTAATCAATAATTAAGATGGTATCGTTAGTGACACCCTATCGCTCAACAGTCAACTCTTGACTGCGGTCTACGACTGGAGATTTCCAGGGTCTGTCATATAAATTAAATTGTAATTTGTGTGACTTTCGCTGCATATAGGATTTCTGGAAACGTGTATTGCTTATTCTCGACAATGCTAAAATAAAAGCAAAATGTAGAACAAAATGGCCTTGTCAATTTTTTGAGTGACATTAATGCTAGAGTACTGTATTTCCACTTACAGGTAGGTGCGCCTAAACTCAGTGCACATCCATGGCTACCACACTAAAAGTCTCTATGTACATACGATTGAGGAATGTACTTTAACACATATGCCTATTTTAATACACTATTAAGATAGGCTCTTCTTTTCTTCTTGTGGTACGACCCTCCGTTATGGAGTTATGAATATTTAGATAACATGAGGACAAGAATTTAGCCTTAAAGTCTTATCTAATTTCTGTTGGTTACGCATAGTTACCAACCTGAGAGATTTAAAATGCGTGACTATACCAGTTAAAGGCAAAGGGGGGGGGGTGGCCACCAGGGTCCCCGTGGTGCAGGGGCGGAACCCTGGTGGGAGCCTGGGTTCCAGTCACATAATCAACAGTTGTTTGTGACAATTAAGGCGTAAGAACACATGACTACTAAATTCTACAAGTGTGTGGTTGGCTTTGTTGTTTTTGGTAGGAAAAGAGAAATTTTCTTGGTGAATTGATTCTCGAACAAGATAAACAAAAGCTCTCTAATGACGCTACTGCATGACCGTTTTTATATTTTTAATAACCAATTTCTTCTATTTTTAAATACGCTTTCCACTGAATTTCTGATAATTCGTTATCACACATAGACTTGTGCTAAATGCGGGACAAATTTATGATCACGCATGTGCTTCTGCAAAATGCGTGTTTCATCCAAAATCACATTGAAATGCAGAACAGTCCCGCACAATGCGAGACGGTTGGTAACTATGGATGTTTGTCATCACTTCAAGATGTCTACAGATTCGTGGAAAAGGTGTAGGCCTAGGGGATTATGACCGGTTGAGCCGCCGACAAGTTGAGCTGCCGGTCATTTCTATGGAAACCCAAGAGCGTCTCTCAGTGAATGTAGTGCGTTAATTGCGGCGTATTTCAATTAACTTATTCGTTCTTGGTACTGTACTGTTGTTTGGGATGTATTTCAGTTTATTTACTCAATTATTTCAATTTATTTAATACTTGGTTTTTGCACTGATTTATTAAATATTTTTGGGATGTATTTCAATTTATTTACTTGTTCTTTCTATCGTTTTAATTTAATTTTTGTGAGTATTTGCTCAGTCAGCTTGCCAGATAGTGTAAAAAAAAACTCCATACATTCTTATCATTTATTATATATAAGTTTAACAAATAGTACAAAAATAAAAAGTATATAAATTACAAAACCATAGTAAATACTGTATATTAACATAGGCCTAACACATTT